CTAAATGCTGCCTCCTCCATAGTACAATTTACATTTTTATACAGTGACGTCATTTTGAAGTCCTTTGGCTGATGGTCTTTAGTATGTAGCTGATGATTGATAATGAGAGAGGTTATGTTTGTGTTGTTCTGTGGAGATCATTCAAGAACTGAACCTGTTAAACACTCAGACCTGCTTTAGATTTCACCACTTTAGTAATGACGCACTTACTTATGGTCATCCTACAAAATGTGTTGGGTATGAATCTGAGTATGAGTGAAAATTAAATGTTTCAGCTTTATTAAAACTCAAATTTAACCTCATGTAGTCATTTTTAAACTTTTTTTTAAAACTGAGGTTCTTTTATTCACTGAAAAAATCAACAGACTCAGATAGTTAGAACAATCTAAGAGTCAGATCAGCAGAAACAAAAACAAGGAAATGTTTCCTGTAACTGCGTCGCTCTGCTCCACTTTGCTGTTTATCGGCGTCTTCGTGTTTGTCTCTGCAGGCGAGGTTTATAAACATGCCACTCCATGCCACCTCTGTAGATCTGTCCCTGAGTTTTAAATGGTTGTGCAAAAAAGTCAGAAACACTGTTTACATTTTACAGCATATTACACAATCCAACAGCTGCATATATGTAAAGAAATACCTTTGATTTTGCCAGCCTAAGAACATTTCATTACATCAGCCCTGTATACAAAGCTTTTAGTTCAGTGTATACAAACAGCTGCAGGAAATGGATTCTGTTCTGTTCTTCACTCATCACCTACCTGACACCTCACACCTGTTTCTCACCTGCGTCATCTGTTGGAATGAAAGTTGGTCTGAAAGCTTCTTGCTGGTGTTTTGATCTACAGTAAACATAAGAGACAGGGTCAGGATTTATTCCAGCCTCCCAGTAAAAAGCAGCAGGTTAGAAATGTCTCAGAGATTCTTACGTGGTGATGCTGGGTAAGAGAAGCCTGTATCAGTAAAGCTTGTTTGCTTGTTGGTGTCTTTGTGTTTTTGAATGTAGGCGAAATTTAACTGTTAGAAAACAAACAGTGTTTGTCTGTGAAAAAGAGAATTAACCTGATTTTCACATTGATATCTCTCAAAGAAATCATTACATTACATTTCACCGCCTTAGTTATGACGCACTTATTCATGGTCATCATACAGCGCAGCGTACCAAACGTCACTTTAACGCGACTTCCTTAAGAGATATCGAAAGTGTGGCGTTTGAACGAGTGTCTGAAAAACAAATGTTTCAGCTTTATTTAAACCTCAAAGTTAACCTCATGTAGGCAGTTTTAACTCGGGTTCTGTTATTAGCTGAAAATACCAACAGACTCAGACTTTTAGAACAAACTAAGAGTCAGATCAGCAGAAACAAGAACACGGAAATGTTTCCTGTAACTGCGTCGCTCTGCTCGACTTTGCTGTTTGTCGGTGTCTTCGTGTTTGTCTCTGCAGGTGAGGTTTATAAACCAAACGGTGTTTCCCTCTGAGATAAAGAGGAATAAACATCAGTCTGGTTTACAAGTTACTTCCCAAACAATTAGTTTCTGAGCGTCTGCTTGTGTGACGGCATCACGAGGCCTGTTGGTGTCTGTGGATTTACCCGCTTGGTCAGCGATGTTATTTCCAGCACAGAGACAAAGAAGTGTAATGTGTTTGTCAGTGTGATGTGTTGTAGTTTCAGGAGTCAGTATACTGCCAGAGGCCGATCTACAGAGGTGGCATGGAGTGGCATGCTCCACCCTTAAATGATCTCTTGCCACCTCTAGTGCCACAGTAGTTTTATATAGGACATTGTTGTTTGTTAAGGTGTGGCAACAGATTATATTAGGCTGGCACATGCCTCTCTATGCCACCTCTGCAGATCTGCCCCAGAGTTTTAAATGGTTGTACAAAGAAATGTCAGAATCATTGTTTACATTGTAAGGCACATTACACAATGTTACACTTGCAATATGTGTAAAGAAATGGCTTTGATTTTACCTTTGATTTCCACACCACCCTAAGAACATTTCATTACATCCAGCCCTGTGTACAGCTACAAAGCTTTGTGTTCAGTGTATACAAACAGCTGTAGCTACATAAAGGCAGCATGCAGAGACTCAGTGTCTTATAATGAGAGGCTGCTTTCTCTCAGCACGTTTCACTGTATAAATGTTTATATAACACAGGTCCTGCTGTTATTTATTGTAAATGATACTACAGCAATGAGTGTGTTTGTGGTCCTCTCATTGGCTGCTGTCGAAGTGAACAGTTGTACTTCGACCTTTCACCTCTCTGCTCTGTCTTTTTTCTTCTGTCAGACCAGAAAATCATCACAGCTGAGCCTGGACAGAAGAACATCAGTCTACCATGTCGAGCTCCAAACAATAATAACAGCATCATCGGTGTAGAGTGGAGCAGATCTGACCTGGGAGACGAATATGTTCTTTTGTACCGGGATGAGTTATTTGACCCAGACAACCAGCATCCATCTTTTAAGAACCGGGTGGATCTGCAGGACAGACAGATGAAGGATGGAGATGTGTCTTTGATTCTGAAGGATGTGACGATTAATGACACTGGAATATATGAGTGTCAAGTCTTCATGAGAGGAACAAACATGAAGAAGAGAGCAAATCTGGATGGTGACCCCATCAGCATCATCACACTGAAAGTTGATCCTCCAGGTGAGTGAGTAGAGTTGAGTGTGTGTGTGATCAGAGGTGAAGCTGCTTCCTGCTTGTTGATGTTTGTTTCTAAAGATGTTGTTGATGAGACTTTGTAGAAAGCAGCTGGTCTGAGTGATGTGATCAGAGTGCAGTAGATAATGTCTGACAGCAGTTTGAAGAGGAAATGGATTCTGTTCTGTTCTTCACTCATCACCTACCTGACAGCTGACACCTCACACCTGTTTCTCACCTGCAGGAGGACCTGTTGGACTGATCGTCGGTCTGAGTGTTTCTGCTGTGCTTCTTGTTGCTGCTGTTGTTGGTTTTCTGATCTACAGAAAACGTAAACAACAGCAGAGTCAGGATTCATACCAGCCTCCTGTTGAACTGCAGCATGTTTGAAGATGTAAGAGTCGCCTGTATCACTAAGGCACAAAGCAGAGGCCTGCTTTCAGAAACTAAAACAATCACATCATGTAGAAAACCAGAAGAGTTGCTTCATTCCAAAGAGATTCCACAGTAGAGACAATGTTAAAGAAAAAGCTAATTTTTCCTCAAGTAAGAAAAAATAACAGATAATCAAAAAGAAGAAAAAAAGGTGGAGAACAAGGTGCAGCACATTTATCAACTGAAAATGGGAAACTGCAATTATTTAAATTGCAGGTTATTTTAACTGTAATTTGAAAATCCAATTTAAGGAAAAAAAATATTCTCAAGCATCTGAGGGAGAAATTAGACCCAAAGTGATCCAAGAAGGATCAAAGACATTTTAATCAACAGGCTGCAGTAGTAAACACGTTTACAGTAGATGCTGCATACTGTTGAAAGAATTACTAAAGCCGAGACTGTTACTCTTAGCATTGTTAACAACATACATTGTTCTGTATATATTTCCAGCACTGAGGATGTTTGGCTTCTGATGTATTGGACAATTGTATATTATTATAATTAGTAGTCATGTTCAGTTTTGATAATGTTAAATGTTTCAAACACACACAGGTTTTCATCATTTGATTGTACGTTTGGTCTGAGGCAGCTAAATTAGTTTGTAGAGAAAAATGACTTTCAGATTTGTGTTTGTGAGCTTAGCTGTGCATATTTACATTTCTGTGGAAGCGCAAATTACTTTTTCATAGTTTGGTTCTCATCAGTATTCATGAGCTCAGAATGTTGCAGCATCAGAACGATTGAGTGTGTTTGTTTCATCTTCAGGTTCAGTTATCTGTGAGATCAAACTCATTCTGAGAGGTTTGAACCACACAGACTCATCCTCATGTGGAGATCACAGACAGTAACAGTAATTTTGACAGTGTCATGAAAATAAATCTATGAATGGTTTATGTATTAGGCAGATGTTTCCTCTTATCTGTGAAGCTTTATTGAACTTTTCATTCCATGGTTGTTTGTTTTCTGGGTGTTATTTCAGTTTAAATATTTCAAGAACTTGTTACATTTGTAATGTTTTATTTTACTCTTTTTGAATCCGTTTTTGCTAATAAAAAAAAAAACTAGGACTCTATTGTTGTGTTGATTCAGTCTGTTCATGTGTTTTTTGTGGCTCTAACCGTTCTTTTTTATTTCTGGAGCAGCTGATGCAGATTTCTGTCTCAGCTAGATTCTGATACATAGTAAAATAATCTAGACACTCTTTAAGTCATATGTGTCTAACTCAAGGCCTGCGGGCCACATCTGGCCCGACGTACATTTATATTCGGCCCACAAGATCAATTTATATAGATTTATAAATGTATTATTTATTATCGTCATTATGCATGGTGATATGACACGCTAATAACACACAAACTACAGATCCCATAATTAGGGATGGGTATTGATAAGATTTTCACGATTCCGATTCCATTTTCGATTCTGTTTAACGATTCGATTCTTTATCGATTCTTTTTAAAAAAGAAGAACACTAAGGTCGATTAGCTTAGAACTTTGTTTTATATCTTCTCTTTGAACAAGATAGAAATTTAGGAGTAACATGGCCTTACAAACCCAGCAGTGAGATCTTAAGAGATCCAGCGTATGGCTCTTCAATGTGGTGTCACAGGGACCCCGCGGAAAAAAATTGTAAATGTAAAATAATAAAATAAATATTCTTCTGTAGCAATAACAAAGTATAGCATAAATTATTCTGTAGCAATTACACAAGAATATCCAGTAATGTCCCTGCCTACAACACATTCACTTACCGAAAATTGGGGGTATCTGCTGTGGCAAATGGGTGCAAGCCTTTGACCACAAACTTAGTCACTGCTCGGTAACATTAGTCTATCCTGGCTTGAAAGGAGACGCTACCTGTAGACTGCAGCGAGAACTGCCAGCGAGAGCGAGCGCCAGCCAGACTCTGTCTCTCTCATCATGGTCACCTAAACGCACAGTAATGGCAGATAAGGCAGATCGCGCTAACATAATATGCACTGTTAGCTGATTATCATTGCCGCATTAACGGGAGAGGACGTGCAAACGTTACCGCTGCTGCTGGGTTGAGATTCACGAGTCCGGAGCGGAATTAAAAACACGACATTCATTTAAGGTTATCACGTGTTTTGTGAGCAAATGCTTTTGCATATTCGTAGTGTTTCCTCCCTTAAATGAAGTACCTGTATCTACTTTGCAAGTATTGCAAGTTGCCCTGTTGTCATCCGTTCTTGTAAAGTATAACCAAACTTTTTAGCGTTTGAGCCGCCATGTTTCCTGCCAGGTAAATGACGCTCCGCAACGTGGTGACATCATTAGGGGCGACTGGAATCGATAAGGGAATCGTTTGCAAAAATGGCAACCAATTCCAAGGAATTGAAACAGTGGGAACCGGTTCTCAACAAGAACCGGTTTTCGATACCCATCCCTACCCATAATGCAGCGCTGCAGCCTCCTTGCTGAACGCTAGTCTACCTGGGAACATTCCCGTGCAGTTAAACTTCTGTTATTGTGAAGCTAGCCGCTCACAATGGTGGAGAGAAAAGTTGATTCTGAAAGCAGAGCCTTTCAGCACCAGTGAGAGGCTGAATATATGTTTACAGACATTGCTGGTAAACCCGTGTGTCTTATTAGTGGAGATAATGTGGCTTTAATGAAGGAATTTAATTTAAGACGGCACTACGAGACAAAACGTCAGGATAAGCTAAAAAACCTAAATGCAGAGCAGAAAATACAGAAAGTAGAAGAGCTGAAGAAGAATCTGACATTTCAGGAGACTTTTTCACCAGAGCAAAATCTCAAAGTGAAGCTGTTTTTAAAGCAAGATTTAATGTAGCAGAGGAGACAGTCAAATCAGCCGGTGTTCCAGATCTACTGGCGTTAGATCAACTGGCGTTGGTCGAACAGATGTGTGGCAGTCTTGTGTTTCAGGAGCTGCTACCGACAAACCAGCAAAAAAACGCCAAATGTGTCAACTGTGACACTTGTGAGGTTGTCTCAAACACACTCCGTCAGTCTTGATGCTGTTGAACAACAAAATGTTTAAAAATGTGGCGAGTTTACCTGGTGATATCCTCACGCGCGACGCGATCGCGAAACAGCAACCAATTAACACCACGCCGATGTTGTCCACAGGACACAAGAGTAAACGATCGGGAGACTCTTGTCGTCGTTATCGTTCCCCTCGCACGTTTTATTTCTCCGGTTTCAGCGTTTTTGCTGCACAACTAAACCGTGCAGTTTACTTTGTGCACTAACATGTACTTGAATCAACCAGCGCCACCTCTGGCCAAGTGCCACAACCTACAGCCAGATCAACTTGTGACACAAATCTGCACCACGTTTGTTTCCTTTCTTGCACAACACATTTGTACCTTTCAATTGTGTCTGTTTGTGCGTCATGCAAATAAACCTTTGAAATGAATGAAATGACACTAATATTTCACTAGTTTTGTAACATCACATGCCGTTAGCATAGTCTGTCTGCGTCTTTTCTCTGCGAACAAACATTTTAGAGTTGGTTGTTATATACAGTCTGTATAAGTGTGGTTAATCTAATAAACATTTGTAAGGAGATGGCAGTTACTGTGAATGTACAGCAGGTGATTAGTAATAAACAGTCAGACAATGACTCTTGTAGCAGTCCCTCGGACCAAGGAAGAAATAGAGAGAGCCTCGACGGGTGCAGTAATTTTTACTTTGAGATTCATTCAGAATCTAACAGTGCTGAGGTGCACCAATGCACCGTGAAAACTAAACAGAAACACAAAATACATTTTCTTAGATGCTTATTACAAATATGAACTCAAATAAAGCAGAAAATACAACAAAATATCAGTTAAGCAAAGAAATACAACTTAAAACATGTACCTCGCTCCGCATTCCAAGGGCTGCAAATTGTTAATTTCGCTAGAGTCCAGTATCACGCTGCTTCACGCTTCATTGAGGGCTGCTTACTGGGACATGTGCGCCACAAAAACCGGTCTGAGCTGGAAGTGCAGCTTTCCGCTAACTAAGCAACAGAGCCCTTTACTGGACACTATGTGTAGCTGTTCAGGCTTTGATCAATAAACAAAACTGGACATTTACAACTCTGACAATCTCATTCAATCTTGCAGATTGCTCCTTCTGTGGAAAGTGGTACCACACAGTGTGTGTGGACTTCCCCTTTGCAGAAGGCAACTACAAATGTTGTGGGTGCTAAATAAACAGAGAAAATTGATCCCTGTTGTCTTTGCTTACTGATTGTTTTTAGTGTTGACAATCCACATTGCTGGGATTGCATCTTTCAACATGTTTGTGGGTAGATTTGGATGTATCAGGGGTAAGTGCAGCCACTCAGCCTCTACTCAATGTGATCATAGCAGCAGGTGCAGATGTGTCACAAGTTAATCTAGTAGTAGGCTATGGTATTTGGCCACAGGTGGCAGCAGTGGACTGACCTCCATTTGAAACTGCTCCAGCTGCTGTGTGATAGTGGATCTGCTACAAATTGAAGATCATATGCAAGTGTTGGAAAACCCTTGTATTATGTTGAAGAACAAAAAAGTGACATTGATTCTGTTGCGGGTCATTTTGACCTGTACTGTGTAAATCCACTCAGAATTGTCAAAAAACTGCACTGAAACAATAGCAACTTTATTTCCCATGAGATAAACATGTAGAACAAAGACATCCAACAGTTTGACTTTCCATAACTATTTTAGGAACAATTTGGTTTTTCGTTCTTACAAACACATTTCTTTTGAACTTGCCCAACGTTCTCAGTTTTTCAATGTTCAACATTTTCAGTTTTGTCGACATGATGGACAGAATGTAACTGTGTGCTTTCTGTAGATGTACTTCTTGCATTTCTCACAAAAAGTGCTTGTTTTAAAACAGGAACCTTCCTAACTAAGATTTAAAACAAAAGATTTCTACGTCTCCTCCAGTCTCACAAACAGATGACAAACCAAGCGACACACCTGAGTCACTGACTTATATCCACTCACTCTCACTGGCTGTTTATTACTAATCACTGTGTAACTGCTGTGAATTCACAGTAACTGTCATCTCCTT